ATTACCTTATTTTAAAAAAAAAAAAAAAAAGGAACTATCTGTTGAAGAAAATTTTAGCAACTAATGACATATATATGTACATTGATGACTGTTGTAACAGTTGAATATTATCAAACCTCCCATTAGTACATTGTTCCTCTAAATATATATATACTGTATATATGTGTGTGTTTAAATAACTCTTGCACCCTTAATTGGTAACACTATAATAAATAAAATATCATCCAAGAATTTAGTATGTCAAGTTTATATGACAAAAAAAAAAAAGATCATGATACAAAGAAATAAATGATAATATTTACAATTGAGGGTTTATATTCCATCACAGATGGTCTTCTCCCACTTTTCTTTTTACTGTTGTTGTTATTGTTGACATTCATATTTAAAAGATTTATTTGCCTACAGCCGGTTAGTTCTAAATCACCATCTAATAATAACTGTGATTGTTGCGATCAAAGAGGATGAACAAGAAGGTATAACGTTAGTATGTGGTCATGCTCATCATAAATGTTTGTCTCGAATGTAAAATCCTATATAAATAAAGTAAAAAAAGATAATTTGTTACTTGATAAATATTAATGAAGAAAATAAAGATTACAATAATGACGAATATGAAATAACAGAAGATGAAAAAATACCATTAGATTTCAGAAATTCTTTAAATAAAACAAAAATGCATGATTCTGAGTCTAGAATGTCTTACAATATACTTATGTTGATCACTAAAGCTTAAAACATAGCCCCTATATAACCTTTCGAAAGCGCCTTGATCATTTAATCATTTTTCGCATATATACAGTACACTCTTTCTATAACGACCCTTTCTATAATTTGCTCTATAACGAACTGGGATTTATGCCCGATTTTTTGCTATTACTCTTTAAAAATCTCCGTCAATAACAAATTTATATACTGTATAACGAACGAACTATTCCCTATATCTATCTGTTTATTACTATAATCATTGATTTATTTTCTTCTTTAGCAATTCTACATTTTAACAATAAATTCCGATTTACATTTTTAGTAATTTTGCATTTTAATATTAATATTTATGTCCTCTCACTAATCCTATATCAAGAAATAATTTTTTCGGTTACATTCATATAATCAAGTCACAATGTAACTTCTTTACAAATCGAATTACAATCAAACATTTTCCAAAATTGTATAAAGCTCAGGTTATCTAAGAAATCAATAAATCTTTGACAATATCAAAAACAATTTTATCACCAAGGATTAATTAATGTCTGAAAATGAGTATATCATTATTTATAAATTTATTATTAATTCTTAGTGTTAAAATAAACAAAAAATTGCTAAATATTTTAATATTAAAACAATTTTTTTGATCTGTTCTTTTGCTCTAGTTGATTAATCATGGCCATGATAATTAATCTGTGGCAACAACTGCTAATAAGCTGTTGCAACTAATTATTAATTATATTAAGTGACTTACACATGTTAATAGTAATAGTACAATGATAATAACTAAATTTTGATCCCTAAAATCTTTAATATATAATACAAATGTTCACTTTGTTCAGTATGCCCCCCATTTAATGATAAATGATAATAATATATATATATATATAAAAATAAAATAATAATAATTTTAAAAATAATTATATAAAATAAAAAAAA